CATATCTGATAGCCACACAGCCTACCAGGCAATTAGGAAAATATATGAAGTGGAGTGGTTTTCTCACAGATCACACGTGGAAGTCAGCATCGCGGAAGGAACCACGAGGATCTCATTTACCTCAGGTGACTTGTTCATGGTAAACTCATTAACCATTAGGTTGAAAATACAGCCCAGAAACAGAGTGCAGAGTAGCTCATATTTAACGCCTCAGTCTTTTCTTAAAGGGAACTTGTTAAATGGCAGCCTAGCAATAAATCAATACACTCCATAAATCTTTAGTACTAGATGTGGGTTCGGACAGGAAAAAGATGGACCCAGGTAACAAAGAAGAAAACAGATGGCTATGGTACATAGGCAAAGATAACAAAGAAGAGTTCACAATGTAAAATGTAAGTTGGAGAGGAGTCCTAGAAAACTGATATGCCATTTGCATAAAGTAATTTACAGTGATTTAAGCCGCCTTGAGAAAGATCAGATGAATATTAGCATTCTCTTCTGGTTTGTTACAGTTTTAAATATTTTACGTTTAACACCTTACCATCTGGAAAATTTTGTGATTAAGGATATAGTTTTGCTCTCCAAATAGCCAATTTTCAAATAATATTTTTCAACATTTTTGAATAATTTTCATTTCCTCCATTGTGATTCTCTATTCAACATCTACTAAAATTTCTATGTCTGAGTTATCTTGTAGTTGAGTGTAGGAATATTACACCACTTTGATTATTGGGGCTTTGAAATAGATTTTAATGTGTCCTACAAGTCGTTACTACCTTTTCTCAGAGTTTCCTTGCCTACATTCTTTCAATGATTTTTGCAGAAGAATTTAACAAACATTTCATCAAGTTCCAAAAATAGGCATTGTCTCCAAAGAAGATGATGGTAAGATTATTATTCACACTCAAATGGGATCTTAGTAATAAGAAAGGGAGGGGCCCTGGCCGGTGTGGTTTAGTGATTGGAGCAGCAGCCCGAGCACGGAGGGGTCTCAGGTTCAATTCCCGGTCAAGGGCACATACCTGGCTCCAGTCAGGGTACGTGTGGGAGACAACCAATCCATGTGCCTCTGTCACATCAATGTTTCTCTCTCTCACTCCCTCTTTCCTTCCCTCCCTCCTTAAAAAAATCAATGGGAAAAATATCCATGGGTGAGGATTAACAAACAAACAAAAAGGGTGGTGGTGGGAAGGGACAGAACTGTGGCACTATTAACGAATTGCACGCAAATAAAATACCATAGCACTCACTCATTGTGGGCCAGGTACCGTTCAGAGTGTTTTACATATATTATTTGATTTAACCCTCAAAAAAGTCTATGATTCTCTCCACTTTAGAGATGTTTCATCGCTTGCTCCAAGGCACGCAGCTGGCACACCTTGGAGCCAGGGTCAAGGCCAGGAGTCAGTCGCTGCCGGAAACTGCTCTCAGCCACTGCACGACTGCTCTCAGGCTTGTCTGCCATGCAGAGTGCAGAGGTTACAGTAATTAATCCTGTATCAACATGTCTTCCATCTTTATTGTGCAAAGCACTTTTACACGCTTTCTCTCACGTGTGTCCCTTTCTTGGTTCAGGACATATATAAATGCATAATTGAACATATTGCCCTTATTAGAGAACTAGTAGCCCGGTGCATGAAATTCATGCACATTAAAAGGGAATTAATTGCCCTAACCGGTTTGGCTCAGTGGATAGAGCATCAGCATGAGGACTCAAGGGTCCCAGGTTCGATTCCGGTCAAGGGCATGTACCTTGGTTGTGGGCACATCCCCAGTGGGGAGTGTGCAGGAGGCAGCTGATCAATGTTTCTCTCTCATTGATGTTCCTAACTCTCTATCCTCTCCCTTCCTCTCTGTAAAAAATCAATAATATATATATATTTTTAAAAAGGGTGTAATTGCCATTCGGGGCACATGCTTAGGTTGTGGGTTCGATCCCCTGTTGGGGCACATGCAGGAGGCAACTATCAGTGTTTCTCTCTCACATCGATGTTTTTTTTCTCTCTCTCCCTCTCCCTTCTTCTCTCTCTTTTTTTAAAAATATATTTTATTGATTTTTCACAGAGAGGAAGGGAGAGGGACAGAGAGCTAGAAACATCGATGAGAGAGAAACATCGACCAGCTGCCTCCTGCACACTCCCCACTGAGGCTGTGCCCGCAACCAAGGTATATGCCCTTGACCGGAATCGAACCTGGGACCCTTCAGTCCGCAGGCCGATGCTCTATCCACTGAGCCAAACCAGTTAGGGCAATACCCTTCTTCTCTTTTTAAAATCAATAAACATTTCCTTGGGTGAGGACTAAAAAAAAAAAAAAGATGGTTTGTAAGTTGATAAGCAGGTAATTAACATTTAACATTCAGCCATGCTTATTACTGAAATTATTTCCATTGTCTTCATTAATTATTAGAGAATTCCAGAAAAATTGTTGGGAGGAAAAAGGCAAGATTATCAGCCACAATATCAACCCTTTTAGATTTCATGGTATGTTTACCTGTGGGAGAAGGAAAAATATGTGAACAAGATTCATAACCACAGGGAGTATGTAAGCCAAGCATGTCAAACTCAAAGGCTAACACGAGCCAAATAAACAAGGCATGCGGCCCGCGGGCCCCGAACTTGACATGCTTGATGTAAGCGCTATTTTGAACTGCTTTCTTAATGGTAGCCAGGTTTTCTACTCTCTCCACCACGATGGCCCTCAGGGAAGGGGCAGGTTAAAGTCCCTGTTAGGAAGGTAAAGAATGTGGGGAAGTGGGAAGGCAAAGAAAAGTAAGGGCAGGGGTCAGCTGCTACCCTCCCCCTCTGCTTTGGGCTTTACCTCAGAGCCGTGGTCGGGAAACCACGGCTCGAGAGCCACATGCGGCTCTTTGGCCCCTCGAGTGTGGCTCTTTCACAAAATAACACGTGCGGGCTGCACGTACAGTGCGATTGAAACTTCGTGGCCCATGCGCAGAAGTCCGTATTTTGTGGAAGAGCCACACTCAAGGGGCCAAAGAGCCGCGGTTTGCCGAACCGCAGTTTGCCGCCCACTGCCTTAGAGGACGGGTTTGGTGAAATAGGAACGGACTGTTAGGTGTGGTGTGAGGGAGGCTGCAAGGAGAGTCCTGGTCTTGTTCAACATGGCCCTTTCACTCTTTTAAAGCGTACAATTCAGTGATTTTTACTGTATTCACAAGGCTATGCAGCCATCCCCACTTTCTAAATCTGTGATACCTAACTCTACACCTGCAGCTTCTCTGAGCTTAGCACAGCTGTGGCAGAGTGGGGCAGATAATAAATGCAAAGGACCAGACTGATGTTTCTGTGTATTTATTTGTTTGTATATTTAATTTTTTGTTAATCCTCACCCAAAGATATTCTTTCCATTGATTTTTAGAGAGAGTGAAAGGGAGGGAGGAGGACAAAGAGGGAGAAACATCTATGTGAGAGAGACATTGATTGGTTGCCTCCTGCACGTGCCCTGACCAGGGCCAGGGATGAAACCTGCAACTCAGGTAGGTGCCCTTGACTGGGAATCGAACCCACATCCCTTCAGTCCAAGGGCCAATGCTCTAACCACTGAGCAACCGGCCAGGGCTGTTTCTGTGTAATTAGCTGCTTCCATTGTTCAAAATACCCCACATTCTGCGTGTATCCAAAAAACTGGCTCTTCAGATAAAGACCAGATGTAGGTAGCCTCAGTTATGTGTGATGTATATCAGACCTAAGATTCCATAAACACCAATCTCAGTGGAAGTAGCTGGCACACATATTTGAAGACAATATGCAGGTGTCTTTAGCATATTCATATAAATTACAAAGTAATGTGATCTGAGAACTTCTTTAGCTAAAGTTCCCTTGATTCGTAATCAGAAATCCTGATTCAAAAGCAAGCCCTCCTTTCTTTATCAATAGGTTGACTAGATGGGTGAAAGATTAATGCACACATTAGAGGCAGAAAAACAGGATCTCATTTCCAGAAAATGGGATGATTTCTTGTAAATCACTTAGTCGCTCCTCTGAGAACATAGCAGGAATCAGAAGTTCCATTAACCTTAGTACCATGAGAAGGGTGAAAAAACGAGCCGAAGTGTTCCATTAGGGAGTGAACAAAAGAGAGAGAAAAACAGAGGAGAGGTGGGACCAATAGGAGAAGAAGAAAAAAGCACTGGGGGAGGGGCGGAGGTGATGAGAAAAGAGGAAGGAGCAGAAACCTGGCAGAGCAGCAGCTGCTACCACCTGCCTGATGCTCCGCTCTGAGAGAGTAGCCTGGATCGTATACTTTTAGGTGATGTTTTTCTTTTCATGAAGAGCAAAGGCAGTTTATTTTGAGAAGCTACTAACAATGCAAAGGAGATCCATAACGTTGTAATGATTTAAAAACACCCGTATTGCTTAGGCATCCGAATGCACAAAAAAACAATTGTATTATTTAGCCACATAAACATTCAAAGGAATGTTGAAGGAACGAGGCTTGAAAAGGTCAGCGACACTGTATTTTGCAGTACGAGTCTGTGGCTTCTTTAGGAGCAGCTTCGTTAAAGTCAGTCCCCAGTGGTTGGAGCAGACCCCACCTGCATCTAAACCAGCGGTTCTCAACCTGTGGGTCGCGACCCCTTTGGGGGCCGAACGACCCTTTCACAGGGGTCGCCCAAGACCATCGGAAAACACATATATAATTACATATTGTTTTTGTGATTAATCACTATGCTTTAATTATGTTCAATTTGTAACAATGAAATTGGGGGTCACCACATCATGAGGAACTGTATTAAAGGGTCGCGGCATTAGGAAGGTTGAGAACCACTGAATAAAAGCTTCCTGCGAAGTTAAGACTGAGGAGTTGCGTGCTCCCAGGAGACAGTGCCAGCGCCCAGGAGAAAAGGGTAAATAACAGGTGCTTTCAAGAGCTCTGGGGGACTTTCCAATTACACTCTACTGAAGAAACGTTGCCTCGACAAAGGTGAATCGTCAGTCCCAAATAGGCAAAAAAATAAGAGATTCTAAAGACACATATCATGTTCTCTCATAAAAATCATTTATTGGCACACCAGAAAGATCATTTTTTTCTAGTACAGCAGCTTCTATTCTTGCAATTCTGTGTAAACTACATGTTACAAGTCACTAGAAATCTAATTAGCAGGATGAATTTCATAAAGAACAAGGGTAACTATGAGTCTACAGCGGCCCAGCCATCGAGTCTCATTTGGAGAGAAAATCAAATATCAAACTAGTGTTGCCCTGCAACAGAGGTTTTCTATAGCCAAGAGAAACCAGGACGGACAGAAACAGGATAGCACCCATTCAATAAATTAGGTACACGTGACTAAAAAAACTGTAACTGAGAGAACTAGTCTAAATCAGGTAAGCACAAAACTAAACCAGTAGCTATTTACATATATTACTTTTTTGCCAAAACTTTAATTTGTTAGCTTTCCCATCCTACCTCTTCCCTTTTATTTGTTATTCTTGTTGTGTGTGTGTGTGTTGTTGTTTTTTTTTCATGGTGAATTTCTTGGCTCACTGGCGAATTTTCTAAAATGTCATGTTAAACTAAAGAATCTGAAGGGGATGTTACATGTCAGTCTCCCTCTATAGAAGTAACGAGCATTATTACTTTGCTATCACTCATAGCAATTGCATACAATTTCATTTTCTTCCAAACATTATTTGAACAACTCCAGGAAGGCAGGTTGTAATGGCAGCAGAGAGGATGGATTTGTTCATCTGTCACAGGCACAGAGAGTAGTACATGGGGTGAGCGTGTTTATCCTGAGAATGTGATAAGATGGCCTGAAACCCAAGATTCCCACTACTGAGGACGGGCCCACCTCCTCTGGCCACTATCCCCGCCCCCCCATACATTTTTAAGGCTTAGTATCATTGCAGCATTAACCAATAAGAATGCTGACATAATTTCTACTAAAGAAGGGCTCTGTGATGAATGGCAGCAGGTACCCTCATTAAAACAGCACGGCGGGAAAGGCATTGAGTGGGTATGTTTCTGGTGCTATGGCCAAAATATGTGGATTTTTAGCATCATGGCAGGGGGTTTAAAAGATCTTGCCAATGAGCCTCTCTCTCCCTTGTTTACTTCCCTTCTAGTTGTAACAATTTGCTATCATTTTATTTTGGGTTGTTCTCCTAGGAGGACAGAGACCACACCTGTGTACTCACCGGTCTCCTGTGTCTAGAATAGTGCCTGGTCCATCGTAGGCTCTCAATCAAAAACGTGTATTAAAGAAATGAACCAAATTGTTAAGTGCCCTGGTCTGCTTATGTCTGGAGACTTTCCGTTTTCATTCAATGACCAGGGTTCTGGCCTGTCCCAATGACCCAGCTATCCTAACGGCCCTACCCACGGTGTAGCTGTGTAGCTGATCCTTTTGTGCTTCAATGGATAGGAAAACTTTTCAAGGCTTCCTTCACTCTGTCCACTCCCCCTCCCCCCAAAGATCAGCTATGCAGAGCGAACACTGCACGAGGGGTAGCAGGGCAAGGACATTCTAGGAGTTAAACTGCAGGCTCCAAATTCAGCTCCTTCTTCCCTATCTCTCCCTACAACCTCTGACAGAAAGCTTAAGAAAACAAGTTATCAGGGGAATTTCCTCTTGGCAGGGCCAGTTCCATGTGTCACTGATAACACGACCAGCAGGAAACACAATGTAACTCACCTACATAAAAATGAAGTGAACTAAAAGCAAAATCTGAGAGAGGAAACGAAGCGACACGGGGGCTGTCTGGGTCCTTCGCTGGTTGGAATTGCTGAACATGGGAGCGAATGCAGGCATTACAGCAAGAGAGAGGTTGGAAGGGAAGGGGCGGAGCTGTGGGGTGTAAAGAGCATAGAGGACCAGCTTTGCTCTCCTCCTTCTCCCTCTCCTTCCAGCTCTCTGGCATCCCACCACGCTCTGGCTGAGCTCCTTGCAGTTGCTTCTCAGGCGGAGGGAAGAGCAGGCAGCTGGCGCTTCCACAGCCCATCCTTAGGCTATTGATGCTCTGCTGGAGTAGAAGTCAGGGACTGGGAGCCCGGTGTGAAGTGTGACCTGGGGGAAGAGACTGTGAGTCCTGGAGGCACAGGCAGGACCCTGCCCCCGCCCCCCACCCCCTGCACCCTCCTTCCCAGGGCACAGTGGGTGTGTTCCTAATTCAAAAGGGATCTGGTCACCCTTCTTTAACCCATACCCGAGAACACGTTGAAGAGAATTGTAGTAGAATTCAGCCTGTGCTAGGAACCTGGTCATCATGGTGGTCATCCTGGAGACACTCGATACTATGGTCCTCATGTTAAGATTCTGGAGAGATTGTGTTCCTTATGACTAAAGACCCAGGCATTGATCTGCAGGTAGCAAAGCCTGTTGGCCACATTGTGGTGATCATTGCCAAGTCCATGGTTAGAGAACAGATAAGCAGACAACCTTTCCTTTATTACTTGCCCACTTGTTATTCCAATGAGGATAAACCTTTCCTTTGGGGATTGCATAGATGATTGTCAGGTGTGAAGAAATATGGGCACTTAATGCTATTTCACTGATTTCTGTCCAACCTTATACCGCCATGGACAAGGCTAGAATCACTTCGCACAGTACTGCCATCGTTCCCGTTCTTGTCCTCGTCTTCCCCAGCCCAAGAGTCTTGATCTAAAGATACTCAGAGCAGCTAAAACTGTGGAAAACTTTGAATGAAGTTTTCCAAGGCTCACTTCTAGGGTATTTTATGGTTTCCTTTTTACCAATGTAGAGGCTGAACTTGATAGATTAGATTTACAGCCTCCCAGAAAAACTCAACTAGTTGCAGGAAGAGAGGAGGGCAGAGGTCATAGGGCTGGCATCACTTCTACTGTACATCCTGATAGACAACAATGGATTTTTTAAGTAGCTCCCAAGACTGTGGTTCCAAGTAGAGCAAAAATTATCTGCAGTGTTTTGATTCTCAAGCCCTATCTTAAGGTAGCCATTTGCTGAGTGAGATTCACACTGACAATGAGAGTTCCAGCTCAAGAGGGAAATGAAAGCCCAAGTCCTAACTGTGGCTGGCCCGGCCCACCCCTTCCTGATCATTTCTCCCACTGCCCCAACCCCCGTGGCCTTTTCTTGCCTGGGTGAGGCCCCTCAGGGCTTAGAAGCTGTGCTCTGGCTGTTCCCTCTGCCTAGAAAGCCCCACACAGCTCCCTCCCTCACCCCCTTCAGGGCTCAGCTCACCTGTGACTGCCTCAAGGCCTACCCACACTGACCACCCTGTTTAAGACCGCAACACCCTCCAACCCCAGCACTCTCGATCCCCTTCCCCACCTCAGTCTTTGCTCCCTCTCACTTCCTGCCTTCGCACACACTCTATAATGAACATGGTAATTGTGCTTACTTGTTGTCTGTCTCCTACAACTAGAATGTGAGCTCTATGAGGGCAAGATTTTTGTCTGTTTTGTTTTTGCTGATGAACAAGACTTATAATAGTGCCTCACATAGTAAAGACACTCAACAGATATTTGTTGAATGAACGAATGAGAAGGATCTGTTGTTTTTCTATTCACAATAAATCGGAAATAACTACTTTTGGGCAGGGACTGTTTTCCATCCCCATAAATCAAGTAAGAGTGCAGAGAAAATGCTCAAAATTGCTGATAACGGTGCTAATAGTCCAGTCTTACACCCTCTCTTGGGCACTCATGGAACTGCGCGAGGCACTTGTTTTTGTGCCAGCCGGCCCAGGAGTTTCATTTCTACTAAAGGTGAAACCAGGGGTCAGAGGGACAATCATTAGCAAACCACGAATAGAATTCCAGTTTCCCACTTGCTGTTAACTAGACTGTGTCCAAGTAGAACGAAGGGGCTTAGGTTGGCTCGGGAGCATGTCAGTTGTCAATGTTGACCCCTTTCCCTCCTCCTTTCCTGCCTGTCTGGGTCTGGACCTGACGTGGTCAGCTTCCCTCTCCCGGGGGTGGACTTGCTCGCCCACGGGTAGCCCAGAAGCAGAGCGAGCAGAAGCCGCGTCTGCACTCACGGCGCGGTGCTGACCTGCACGTTCCTGTTCAGGCTCACGGCCGGGAAGAAGAGGCCCTCCATGTTCTCGAAGGCGATGGGCCCTTGCTGTTCGTCGTTGACAAAAAAGGTCAAGGTTTTCCTGTTTAAGTCGAGGAGGACCCCGATGGTGGCCCCTTTTGCGATCCCTCCCTCAGTTCTGTGAAAACAACAACAACAAAAAGCAATTGGGTTTCCCTGGCCTGTCATCATGCTGGGAGCTCCCCATTTGTATGGTTAAGTGTTCCTTGACTTGTTTACAAGTAGCATCTCCTCCCTCCCAGGAGCCTTTTAAAACAGGCCCCTCCTCTTTAATTGCTCCCCTTTACACGAAATGTTCATATCACAGATACACTGTGTATTTATTTATGTGTGGATGCATATCTGTGCTTTATATATTAAAAGGGAAGGGTTTTGTGCTTACTCCCCCAAACCAATTTTCACGCCCCTGGGGGAATGGATTCAAAGGCGCTGCTCTGCTGTTGCTGAGAGTGACCTCATTCACACAGGGTCATCACCACCGAGACTCGAAGCATCGAAGACTAAGAAAGAGAGTAGCCGTTGGGCCCTCTGAGTTCTGCCCACAGTTGTGTCCTACACTCTGCACAGAGGTGTGGATTCAACATCATTTAATCGAGAGGGACTTAATTTAAAAATCAAAATAGAGAAGAATTTTAGCCAAACTTAAACATATGCATGAAAAATTGGATTTGGGGCCTTAGGCTACCCATTAAATAGAAAAAACTCATTCCAGAAAGATGGAAGTTTTTGGCATGTTGAGTCCGCATTGAGAAGTTGGAGGCTCTCTAGAAAGTGGCAACATCGAAGAAGGGGGCTCTCTCCTGTAGGAGACGGAGTGATTTTAAAGAATCTGAACTCAAATGTCATTTCACAGTGAATTGGGTCTTATGCTTCAATGGATGGTTTCGAAAACACCATTCAGCATGGATGAGCAGCTTTGCCACTTCCCCTTGTTGAGGTCTAGCAGTATTTAATTTCATCCTCCTCTCAGCAGAGCACAGAAATGTAAGAGTGCTGGTCTTTCCCTCTGGCATGCAGAATACAGACTACACATGACTGTTCAAAGACAGGTTGATAAATTGTGTCTTGTATTCACACCTTCAACAGTGACAGCACAAGTGACACGAATTTGCATGCAAGCAGGCGTGTTCAGCTTTAAGAATGTGTTTCTCTGCATAGTGTGACAGTGGTCATTATTCACCCCTTCACTTCAAAATAAAGAAGCTAAAAGGGAAAGGTAAGCATGGTCCGTGGGTGGTGGATTCAGAGATCCAGTGACAGAGGGCTCCCCCAAAATGTAGATCACTGAAGAAAACTGCTCAGCTGCATCTAATAGGGTTGGACAGCAGGCTGAAATGGTGTGCGTGCTCACTTGGAGAGGAAGTGACTAATACACACCAGCATGAGGTGTAAGAAAACATCCAAGGGAACAGGCATTGGAGGCCCTGGGAGACTCTGGCTAGAGAAGGGGCCGCGATGAGCATGTGGAAAAGGCTGAAACAGTGGAGGCCTCTCTCCTACCACTGGCTCACTCACTTTCCTTTTGATCAGACCGATTTTTTTTTTTTCAGAGACACCAATGAGAATGTATCCTGGGGAAATCATTGTGAATAAAAAGGACCAGGGTCCATGAAAGATACTTATCTAGGAAATTCATAAAAAATGCATTTGAGGAAGAAGACACGAACTAAATGAAAAGGAAGTCTAGGAAAACGGTTATAGTGGGGGTTAAAACTGTTGCAGTGTGGGCTTACATTTTGGTGGTAGAGGAAAACCCAAGGAATTACTATGTTCTCCTTTCCCACCAAACTGGGTGCTCTGAATCTGTACAATGATAAGAGGCGTCTTCAAGTACAAAGCTATCCAAATTGGCATCCACAAGATTTAGTTTATTAACTGGCCTCTCCTCTGAGCAGTGGTATTGGCAATAATCATAAGAAGAGAAACAATAGCTTCTATTTTCAGATGCCTCTGATGTAGGCATTTTTGCACATTCCATTTAACCTTGGGAACATTCCTGCATAGAAAAATACTAATATCCTAATTTGGTGGATTTAAAAATTGAGGTTTAGAAAAACTAAATAACTTGTCCAAATGGCTTTTCTGTGAAGTGGGACTAGATTTTAGAATCCTGGAATGTGGTCCTGTCATGGGTGCGCATGGGGATTCTCGGTTTCCCGCCACGGGTGGAATATTACAACGAAGGGCCTAGGAAAGAGCTTATGTCTCTGCCATTCTGTGAGCAAACAAACAAACACAATACCCACCAGGATGTTCTCAGTTAAGACTAGTAGAACTCCTGCGCTACTGAATGAAGACCGCCTGCCCGACCTCGACCTCCTTAATGTTGTCTATTTAATAGGCCTTTGAACTTGGGCTCTCGTTCTTGACCAGAAGCCAACGTGAAGAAGGCTTGGTTTGGGGGCTGCAGGGTACCTGTTGGTGTGCGAGTTGTTGTGCATGAACCAGCTCCGGTTATTGTCCACATACATTGCCCAAGCTTTGTCGTCCTTTCCTAACATCACATCCTTCATCACGTCAATGCGAGCCACGCCAAAGGCAGGGTCGGGGTGGTTGTCGTAGCGGTCCACCGTTATCTCCCAGTAGTGGACACCCTTGGAGAAGCCGGTCTTCCCTAGTACCACCCGGTCATCGTAACTGCTGCAGGTCACAGTCAGGTTGTCGTTGGAGAAGATGATGTCCGAGTGTGCTGAGCCGGGGTCAAAAGCAAACCAGGCCACTGGGAACAAGAGAAAGGAGTGGGGTTAGTGAGACGGACCCAGTGAGCCCAACACCATACCAGACTCCTGGGCGGCTGAGGGGCGCTGTGTCCCATGTTCATGCTGCCATGCAGGAGGGAGGCGTCCGGGGCCAGAAGGGGCCGTGAGTGAGCAGACAGGGGCCACATCCTGGGGGCTGGGACTCTCTGTGCCCAGAAGCCGATGGAAGGACACCCGACCGATTTAGCAGGGGTTACCTGGCTCAGACTGCACTCCCAACCAGGTGATCGGGGAGTGGAGTGGCATCGATTTTGGAAGGTGCAAGTCCCTTCACCCGGTGACTGGCAGACAGTACACCGGAGACGTAAAGTGAGAGGGATGCGCTAAGATGCCTGTGTGGCCCTGAGGCAGGGAGGCTAGGATCTAGAGCCCTAGATGGAGGAGGGATAAACACACTGTGAAACCAGGAAACATGCCTTCGAAGAACTGCCCAAATCTAGTCATTTTGAAAATGTCCTCAGTGCTAGTGAAAGCTCAGAAAAGCTGCGAAGCTCTCAGAGACATGAACGGATTTTCCTAGTGCTTGTGATGTGGACACAAGACAGGCTGCGTCCTTCATAACTTAAACATGCAGTTTGTAGGAGGAATTTGGGACACGAGGTGCAGATAGAACGATGTCTTTGTCCACATTGCTGCGCCCCGAGTTCTAAATGCCGCCTGCTGATCACACACTCTAGAGGGAAGTCACTGCTGACTTGTGGAACCTGTGAGCCACCTCACAGGCACTGTGGTCTTTGCTATTTGTAACAGAATAAGTTTATTTCATACCTGCCAACAGCTTTTTAATGTCAACTGTTGTCATTCCAAGTGAAAGGCATGGGAGAGAGAAATAGGAAGCAAAATTGACATTGATAAGAAAACATAGCTCTTTTGATAGGCTAATACCAAAAAAGGGCTCAATTTTAAACTCTAGGAACACCACAACAGTTGGTCTGACTATCTTTACCCACACTTAGCGCTCATAAAGAGTGCTTTGCATGGATGTATATGTAAGAAAACTGGTCAGGAAAAGTAATCTTTGAGGTATAAAATTAAAATACAGGTATCTTTTCCATATTTCTAAATATTTGAGAAGCTATTATAATGGTATTTGAATGACAATTAGACAATTTTATTGACATAAAAGAAGCTATTGCCATTTATTTTGTGAAGGAAATTGAGCATACCAATCACATAGGTAAAAGATAACAATTACAATAGGTATACTTGCCTAATTGAGAGTAAGGTGCAGATTGTGGCTCAAAATTGCATCCTATAAAGAGATACTACACATCAAAGCTATGAAACAACAACCACGTTGATAATAATTATTTGTTTACACTTAAAAAAGCACCTGCTGAATAAAGTCACCAGAGGCTTGATTCATGAAAAACCAAAGCCCTTTTATATTAGTTTATTTGCTGAGTCAAGATTGCTTTTCTGCTTTTTTGAAATAAGAAGTACCTCTTTTTTTTCCATTTAATAAATATTCCTCTAATTTGTACAGCTTAAATTTTCTCCTTCTTCAAATTCAATCTTTTCCACTAAGTTTTCCACATTAAGAAGGATTACTGTTTAGAAATGAGAAAAATTCATCCCATTGAAATGGGAGAAAACGCTGGATCTTGAGAAAACTCCATTCTACATCACTATTCCATGCACTTCTAACTCGGGTTAGGCCTTTGTTGTGACTGGGCCCAAGTTAAATGCTACACATGTAACCAAATGGGAAATGTAATCTATATGCTAATAAATACATCTGATAATTATTAATAATGACGTGAATGAAATATAATAAAATGGCCTCATCTTCTTCTCAGATTGTTTTACTACATCCTTTGCATCTAAGGAAAAGGGGGATTGGTGGATGGTGGGGGTGCGAGTGATCTCAGAGATAGTTTAGAATCACCTGTGGAACTTTTCCAACTACCCCCTTTCCTTAAGATTGGGTACCCCTACCTGCCCCATGAGAAGTTGCATTGGGTGGAGGAAGCAGTCATGTATTAACATGTTCAAAGATGTGAGAATTATAATTTCAAGTGGTGCCAGGGACTGCTTAGAAAACGTGTTTTTGAGGAGCACTAGAGTACCCCCTAGAGAAGATAATTTAATTTTTTTTCAATTTATAAGACCCTAATATATTAACTTGTAAAACAATTGAAGGATGATACACTGAATTAAAAGAATTTCAGAAGAATTAAGAAGGGAACTTAGAAAGGACTAATAATTAAGTTAAAAGCAAAATTTAAAGATTTTGAACTTACTTGTTTTTGGTTACTCTGGAATGAATTTGCACACAAAAGAATAATTTTCTCCTGAGAACACATGGAGTTTTAAAACTGAATTTCATATCCAGCTTTGGAAATAAATTTATAGAATCTCAACAGGGCTTTTAACACGTTTAAATGAATCATGCCTTTGTGCAAGTCTTTTTCAAAACAAGTTTTGTGAAATCTTTTTACACTACTTTAAACACACTGTCAAACATTCAAGATTCAACGGTACAACTAGAACAGTGCAAACAGCCATCAATTACCCCGAAACCCACATTGCATTTTATTCTTGAGACAATATACATTACAGAGACTATTACAATATTCCAGTACATTAGACACAAGTGAAAAGAATTCCATAACAGAGCATGTCTGAAAGCCAGTAGTGCACAGAAAAACAATAAGAAACGTAAAAGCACAAAGAAAAATGTCATTTTAAAGAGAGCTTGAAGTCCCTGCATCCTTTTTGCACTGTCATGCTGTGGTCTTCTTCATTCCAGGATGTGGGATGAGCAAAAAGAATAAAATAAGAAACAAAAGAAACCCTTGGAAATGTGAAATGTGCATCACGTGACTCCATGATTACAATATAGTCCTGAAGAGATCAAATAGGTCTGCATCGTAGATGTTTAAAGTTTCTACTTGCTAGACAGTTCACTGCATGGTAGCACAGGTCTAGCTTTCCTGCAGTCGGCCTAGAGCCCTGTCACAACCTGCTTGGCTGTGGGAAACCTCTGGGGAGGCCAGACTTTTCAATGACTCAGATCTTTGGGCCTTAAGCTAGTTAAGGGCTTCTCATTCAGCTAGTGGTGGTCCCTCCCCTTTGCTTGGAAAAAAACAACAACCCAAAACCCATCCTTGAGCCCAACTGTCCTACCAGTGAGCACAGGCTTTTGCAGAAAATGTTTTTACTTTCTACCCTCTGGTTTGCTTATTTGTATGATGCATTCTGCTGTTGGTGTTGCTTTGTCTTATTTTTTTCAATAAAGATCTCTTGAGTCTATGTTTAATCAGACCACTCCAGGCAGGATGCACTGATCCAGTGCCCCAGACAGAGCTGGTTTCCTGGATACAGCAGGGTAGCAAACCTCTAAGGCCTCCCCTCAGCCAGCTCCTGTGCCGTGCTATGCCACTGCATATGATGCCAGAGCAGGCTGTCCATGGTGGTACCAGCTTGTGCAAAAAGAACAACTTCACTCATCGCTTTCCAATGCCATTGTACATTGACCACAACTCGATGGGGGGTGGGCATCCTCACACCACACAAACAAGACCACCACAAAGCTCCATGGCCCAAGTGCCCCTCATATCAAAGCAGGCCACAAACATCGAGACTCGCTCATGGCCGGCTCCACGCACATGAATGGCAAATACAAAACAGCTATTTCAGAGATGCCTTCAAGGCACAGAGATCAATCAAGAGGAAAGGTCAGAGGAGCTCAGCTCACCCGGTGCATTGAGAGACTGTAAGGAGGAATGCAAGCTCAGCTGGTGGGGTGAGGATCGGAAATCAAAGTAGGATCTCCCGGGAAAGCTGGGCTGGAGATTTAGGGTGGAGGAGAAAGGACTCATTCTACGGAGCGGCAATCTTTCCGAAGGCACTGGAAAAGGGAGTGTCTGTTCTTCTGAATCTGTGTCTAAATGTAAGATCAATGCAAACTGGAGATCAGAAATCTGCCACCTGCCCGTGCACAGTTCCCCAAGACCGGCCTCACCAGTGCATCTGTACCGAGCCCCCTCCAGCCCGCCGTTGCCACAGGCATTTCCTAATCCAGAATGGCTTGGGCTGGGAGGGAATTCTAGGCAGGTCAGAACCCAAGACCAGACAGAGGACATCACATACAGTTGTTTTCATTTCCCCCAATTTTTCATGGTAGAGAAAGTTCCCTTTTAATGAAATATTTTTAGAGTTGAAATTAGAAACTTTAGAGGTAAATTTTATCCAGGAGTGAAGAGGAGATTAATATTTCACCCTCTTCAGCTAGTTCTGAAGTTACTACCTCTTACGGGGTTTCTACTTAGGAGGTGAGGATTTTTACCAACTCTCTGCTGTTCCACATTTCCCCTCTTCTCTCCATACATATTTTTTTTCCATTTCAAAATGGATGATTTTTCTATACCAGCACACTCGAGACTTGCTCTTTGGCTAGGCAAGGAAAATAGGGATGACCATTGCGGAAGGAGTCTTACCTCTGTTTCTGAGTTATGATCAGACCCTAGGGATGCCCCTGGAACATCTCTGGTTCTCTAATAATAAACCAACTGTGGGCAATGGTGAGGTGAATTGGTGGCGAAAAAAGGCCTTTATGTTCAGATAGTCAGGTCTGGTGAGAAGATCACTATTACACCAGAGAAAGGACTTACCAATTACTTGATCTGGCTTTAGAAGGGCTTGTGAGGTAGTTTCTCTAAATTACTAAATTCACTCCTTTCTCTTTTGTCAATCAATAACTGGTTCTTTGCAGTCGGGTGGTCTGGGCAGAGATTGATGTTTTACCAAATGGGGCCTTCTTAGAACATAGTTTGATAGTCATAATTTAGCAACTACCCATGACATGATGGTAAGAGTCAATGTCCAAAACCAACAAGGAACTTTCTTCCCATTGAAAAAGTAATTTTACTTCAATGGCCAGAGGGTGTTCTTGAGGATATTTTTCTGGTTTGAGCCTGGTTTGAACACACCCTTTATCCTGTGAAAATGCTATTATGTTCAAGCAAAAAACTGAGGGCATGTTTGTGGAATATGATCTTCCTTGAAGGGCTCAGAACAGGGGCCTTGGTGGGTTTTCATTTTAATATTGTCAAGAGTTGCCTCATTTTCATTTCTGAACTTAGAATAAGAAAGTTAGCTTTTTAGGCTTTAGACTTATTCTTGAGGGGATTTTTTTAAAAAAAGAAAAGTATAAACCAGATCTCAGAGAAAAGGAATTGCTGTTTATGGACCTAAGACATCATGGTCCCAATGAGAATATATTTAAATTTTCCTCTACCTAAACTTTATATGGTTTGGATGATTTGACATATAGGATCATGTCTTTCTTCAGAAATAGTAAATAAGAATTAATTCCTGTTATAATTATCTCAAGGGGAAATTAGTCTTTTAGTTTAATGGGAAAATTTGAAAAACAACAATACAGCACCACAAACGGATGTGGACTTCTTTTAGGGAGAAAAGGCATTTACAGTATATTCTTGACAGTAAAAGATCTTTTATTGAAAAAAATCTCTGGTAACAATCAATTTGTTATATTGAAAATAGTTGTTGCTTCAAAAATTAAGAGAAAGGGCATATATAGTAAAATTAATTTCAGAGTATATCGAAACCCCAAATAATCATCTGAAAATCAGTGAAAAGATATGTACTGAATCCAGACCTTGGGAGCATATACGAGCACATCATGGATTGTACTTACCTTTTCTATACTCAGCACCAGGAAAAAAAAACTTAAAGTTGGTGAGGATACCACTCCATTGGGTGAGGAGTGAGGGTAGCTATCATTATTCATGGGATTAATAGCTCAACACTAAAATAGTATTGTTTTTCTATCCTTTTATGTGGATCCATTGTTTATTGATGACCCAGTTTTCCTTGACTCCTCTTATTCTTGAAGTATGCCCTCTATTCAGGCAGGATTATTTAATAACCACATTATCCAACCGTCCATTTCTGTCTTTGAGTTTTTCCCACCTATGGCCACCCACACCCTACCAGCTGGGCTCTTACCCCATGTTCTCTAAGGAGCATCTCAAATGAATTGCAAGAGAGAGAACACGTTCCACATGAGTGTCTTTATGCCCAACCCTGAGCACTTAGTGCAAATGTTTGGTCTGCTGCCTATGGACCATCTATGCCACTGGATATTATCTTAGGTTGCAGGAGTCTTAGAGGGAAGACACATGGTGGTAACATCTGAGGAGCAATCATCAAACTCCCCCTTGAAATACCCTGCACTGAGAAACTCATCACCTCAGGGCAGCCCATTGGTGTACAGTTATTGCTTATATAGGTTTGGAAATGCCTCTTAGGGAGCTCCAGTCATTTGTAGCATTACTACCTGGGACCACACAGAACAGATCACTAGGTCTTCAAGTATTTGCAGGCAGTCACCAATCCCCTTTAGTTCTTTCCTTTTTCTGGGATAAGTAGAATCTATTTCTGATCTTCCTTCTATGGTAAGGTTTTCAAAGCTTTAATTTTGTCATGCCCTTCTGTACATGTTTAAAGACATGAACCAAAGACAATAAGAAAAATTGGGAACTGTATGTCACTCCCTTGTTTGGTTGAATCACATAACTCACATTGTGCATATAGACAGCTAGACATATATGTATTTTGTGTTGTAGCATGGGATGCAGGAAGTATGTACATCTCACTCCCCCCTCCCCCTCTTCAAAGCACAAATATTGAGACCTGAAGAAGGCTTCTCAGCCATTAGTATTCTATTAGTCAAGACAAACAGGAATGAGATTATCTCCCCCCGCCCCCCCCAGAATACGTGATGCAAAGCCATGTCTCAGTTCATAGCTAATATCCAGGATGATGATCATTGGTTTTTAGCATGTAGACCACTAGAGAAAGACAAGTAGATTCTTCAAAAGTTTTATGTTTCTGTCATGTTTCATCCCATGCAGTGATCCTGTCTGCTAAGTAAAAAGAGTAAAGAGCAATGGAAAACAGTATGGCAGCTGCATACTGGTGTGACCACTCTAGGCATATCTGTGACACTGGGATGGGGATTGTGTTCATAACGGGAATAGGTCAAGACACTTTCCATCAACTCTGACATGGACCATCATTTTCCTCTTGCCCTTGTCTGGACAGCTTTCCCTTCTCACCTGGGGTTGCGGGATCAAGAATTATCAAAGCAAGTTTGGCTGGTGGACCTCATTTATTGCCTACTGACTTTTGGGCTTGAGGTGAAAAAAGAATATCTGTGTGGTACTTCTGCTTGGCTAACTGTATATTTCTTTGATTCATTAGCTAACATTTATTGAACACCTACCATGTGCCAAATATTGTATTAGAACTAAGCAGCCAGGAAACATGAACTGGCAGGAAAGCTGACCATAGAGAAAGAATAATTTAGAGAAAGTCTGTGTTTCATAGAATTGATTAATGTTTCACTCTTCTGGGAGTAGAGCTTCTTGACTGATTCCAACATATACAAAGCACTAAAGATTTCTATGAACATCATAGAATATTGTGGAAGTGTAAATACAGTATACAGTATTTTTGAAATTCAAGGAGGAAAGGCAAACTGACAGGGGATCCTTCTGGTAGCGTGTGCTACTCCAGCTGCCTCTGTGCCCTGGTGGATTCCTGGTGGTCTCCCTGTCTGCTAGTGAACAGCTTGGTAACTTCAACAGCCCTTGGGCACTGGCCTAGCGAGACGGCTGCATTTCAGAGCGCAGCAAAGCAAGAAAGGTCACTAAGGACGGCACGAGCAGCATTAAAGGTGAGTTTCAGTTCAATTATAAGCCAGCTGGAAAAGAATTTGCATTTGTTGGGAAGCTTTTACAAGAGAGAAAGAAATGAATGAAGGAGGTCGAGTTTCCTTCAATGGCCTAAGAAGAGTCCAGAGTCACAGGGATGTCCACTGGCATATAATTTCCAGCGGAAGGTGGTATTTTAAGCTTTCATAAGTGTGGCATTAATTGCAGTTGAGAAGTGAGAAACAAATCTGTTTTGAGACCTTTTATAAGAACAAATGGAACAGCCTCTGACTACCACTGGGACGGCTGCATACTTTGTCCCCAAGTCCTCCACTCCAATTGACAATACGATGGCATTATTTCTAAGGAACTGTCATCAGAAGAACCAAAAATCCCTATGTTTCAAACAGATAAAAAAGGTTCCAAAGGACTAACCTGCTCCCCAGAGTGTCAACTGCAAAGCACATTCCTCAGAACAAAAAATAGGGTCTGGCTCCAATTTGGCCCCGTGGAGAACCTCAGGAAGTTCCCTGGGATACCGTGCATGTTCTCAGGTTTAAAAGGAACCGAGTGTGTCTCCTTTCTGGGCTCTGAGACCTGTCATCATGCCTTTCACCTTGGACGTTATAAAATCCGCCCAAATTTGTTCAGGAATGATTTACCTCCCATGAGGATTTTGTCCTGAAAATGCACGTTCTCCTAACGAAATTATGTTGGGAGAGGCTTTAAGAAAAGCAAAACAGAGACATAGGAAAAGTACCTACAGTGAACCATACTTTTCCTGATGTGATCCCTAGTCAGCTGTCTCCTATTAGTGTTGAAATTCCAGTAGCACAGGCAGATCTCTAAGACCCAGGAAGACCCTCTGAGGAGGCGGGAGCTGTCTACACCTGTTCATAGCATTTTCTGAAGTAGTTAACAGCTTTCAGGAGTAATTTTCAAGAGAGAAGCCATAGGAAAAAACCAGAGGGTACTTATTATAAAGAACCTAGAGGTCATCTGCTCTAAATCTATCCAGTGGTTCTCAACCTTCTAGCCCTTTAAATACAGTCCCTCATATTGTGACCCAACCATAAAATTATTTTCGTTGCTACTTCATAACTGTAATGTTGCTACTGTTATGAATCGTAATGTAAATATCTGATATGCAGGATGGTCTTAGGCGACCCCTGTGAAAGGGTCATTCGACTGCCAAAGGGGTCAC